TCCAGTGAGTATGACTGAATCTGGGGTATTGAAATCTGTTCTCTAACTGGGGCTTCGTTGAACACGACTTCAGTGAATGAACTGGTTTTGGGTTTTTTTTTTAATCATTTTAGATTAAATGGAAAAGGATCTTTCTCTCTCTCATTTTCAATCGCCTACCCGAATGCTTTTGAACAGTAGGTTCAGAATTGGGGTGAGAACCAGATCATTTAGCAATGCAACTTCCCCTGTATGATATACTTAACCAAAGTGTGTGTTTTGCCTGTATTTCTTTGAAGCATTATTCAAAAAGCCAACTGGGTGGGCACTCAGAATATCTAATCAGCCTTCCCACTGAGAAGCTTTTTAATGCTCACCTAAGGTTGGAATTTGGAATTAGTGAAATTTTCCATTTCGGGGAGGAGAAGACAAGCCCTTCTTTGACTTGCTCTGCAATCAAATGGAGCCTCGAGATTGGGGGGCTTGTTTCCCAAAAAGGCATGTTTATGATTTAGCTATTGTTCCTGAGAATGAAATATTAATCCGCTCAGGTCTTCTTAGGAATTACGGTGGCCACATCTTGGCAGGTCCTGCCTCACTCCTTGGGTTTCATTTTGTTTGCCGGCGTCTTCATGTTACCGTTTGCCAGTTGGTTTCCGAATAATAAGCAGAGGGTGCAATCCTAGTTTCCCGGGCACTTGCAGAAGCATGGGTATCTAGAGCAGAGGACTTTTCTCCTAGGACCCTGTGCCGATGGGAAGGAGTCCAGGTTGATGGGCTGTGCCATCTGATTAGGAGAAGACTTCCATAGATCTGCTGACATCACATCATCTCCCCACATCTTTTTAAAGAGACTTTCTGTTTGGAGCTTTTAAAAAAAATGTGATGATAATTGGGGAAAGGAGCTGGGCCTGTGATTTCTTTGATGTATATAGAGAAGACTCCTACTGGTACCAGTCAGCAGCTTCTCTGTAACAGTCTCAGAGAGTTACCAAGAGCATTAACATGGTCAATAACCTTCCCAAGGTCAAATGATCCATGTGAGTCAAATGGGATATAACTGATAATGATAATGAGAGGCCAAGATTTGGGCTCAGAGTTAGGAAAAGCTGCGTTCAAGCCCAACTTTTGACAAAGGGTGAATTTCTGAACCTGGATAGATCACTTGCAGTGCCCCAGGCATCTCTCTAAGGCTAATTTCCAGAGAAAGTGATAGAAGGGATGCTCTCCACCACTGAAGACACATTTCTAACCTGTCTCCGCCCCTAAATAACAAAATAATAATAATAATAATAATAATAATAATAATGATAGCTAGCATTTCTACGGCCCTTTAAGCTTCTCAAAGTGTTTTACAATTATTATTTCATTTTATTCTCATCACAATCCTGAGAGCTAGATGCTATTATTATCTTCACTTTACAGTTAAGAAAACTGAGGCAAGGTTGGCCTTCTCCTCATTAGGCCCTGCTGCTTCTTAACTTCCTCTAAAAATGTTAGTTTTATTAAAAAATCTATTCATCACATAGCTCTCAGTGACAGGATTAAAAGGGCCTCCCCTGTCTACAGTCTACCATCCACAGAACCTCCATCTCCAGTAGGTCCACCTTAAAATAAGGAATTTCAAAGATTTAAGGCCTTCTAGGGAGAACATGCACCAGCAGGCAGGCAGTGAATGTAAACCCAGATGAGCAAAAGCCAGAGATCAGCCTGGGATTTTCAGCCTTCACGATGAATTTCCTTGCTATTATGTGGCTCTGCGTTCTAAGTCAAACTCTTAACATAAATTGTGGCAAGATTCCTTTGTGAGGACCCATGGGCTTGGCGCGGGCTAAAGCTCATGGCCCCGCTAGGCAGGATCTTTTTAGTCTGCAGTGCCAAAACTTAAAGCAATTCTTCCTTCCCAGCTCCTCTAATCCAGTGGCTGGTGCCTCTGGCCCTTACTAAATATAAGTCAAATAAAACTTGCACAATCGGGTTGGGTTTTGTGTGGTGCAACTGACTCCATCGCCCCATGAAATGGAATTGTTGATTTTAAAAAAGGAAATTACCTTCTCAACTAACCCCTTCTTCCCCCCCACACACATAACCGCAATGGATTTTCTATGGACTAAGTCTCTGGGTTTTAGATGAGAAAACATATGAAAATTTTCTTTCAGATTCCAAGGAAAATCTCTCCTGTAAAGTAGGACCATAGGGAGAGGCATCAACCTGGTGTAAGTGAACGGAGAGCTGACCTCAGAGACAGGAAGGCCTGTGCTAGTCCCATACCTCACTGGTACTGACTGTGTCTCTAACTTCTCAGCGCCCCAGGCAGCCCAAGACGATAGGTTGTAATAAAAGGCACCACCCTGCAGTGGTAGAGAGAGCTTCCTCATGTGGGATTTCCCTGTCCTGGTGAGAAATCAGAAATCCAGGCTCAGTCCTTGGAGTGAAGGCAAAGTGTATAAAAATCGAATAACCCCTCTTTTTTTTTTTAAAGGCAGATCCATTTATAGCTTCCCTAAAACATGATAATTGCTTCTGTGTTCAGTTAGTAAATGCTGATTACTGAACGTTTTATTGATAGTATACTCTGCTTATGTTAGTTAGACCCCCTAGAAAGACACCCAACTTAACTGGATAATATTGTCATGAACCAATATTTTTTTAAAAACCATGACATGCTGAGTTTGATAAACACTCATTAGAATGTAAAAGGTCACCTTAGAGAGTAGGAAGTGGACCCTTTCACAACTCTTACTAAGCGGAAAATTCTTCACCAGACAAAGGGTTGGAAATATTGGTAGAGACAAACAAAAGAATTTCACTTTCATAAAATTTAAAAAAGCTTTTGCGCAAACAAAATCAGTGCAGATTAATAAGAGAGTAACACTGGTTGGAGAGTAGGAGCAGGATTTTTTGTCAAATATCCCTGATAGAAGTTTGGTATCCAAGACATAGAGGCAATCGATAACAAATATTTAACAGCAAAAACTATTGTCTCAGTTGCCAAAGGTTATGGGGGAAACAGTTTTCAGCAGAAGAATCGCAAATTGTAAATGACCATTTGAAATAATTAATAGAAATAGACGTATAAATGAAGATCACTCTGATGTGTCACTTGAATCCTGCACATTGGCAAAGATTGCAAGAAATAGGAATGGTCAGTATTGGGGAGGCTGTGAAAAGACCCATGCAGCACAGTGTCCTTAGGACTCTGCATTGGTCCAACTCTTCTTGATCTCAATTTGGAATTATACAAAATAAATAAATAAGTTATGATTAAACTTTTCATTCCCTTTGACTAATGGGTCCCATTATACCTTGAAGACATCAAAGACAAATAAAATACAAAGATCTAGTTTATACCAAAGTATTTTTGGCAACATTTTTCTGGGTGAAGAAATGAAAGCAAAATGGATGGCCATCAACAGAGGAATGAGTGTGTGGGGGTGAGAGGGAGGGGAAGCAGTGATATAGACATATAATGGAATATGATTTGCAATGAGATACAAGGAATAGGAGTTACTAGAGAAACAAGAGAAGACTTGCTTGAATTGATATGGAGTAAAATAAGTAGAACCTAGAGAATGATATAACAATGACTATAGCAATGTTAATGGAAAAATGTCACCAAAATGAAGCTAAAATCTGAGTAACCTTAAAATCTGGGATAGGCTCAGAGAGCAAATGATGAAACATATTCTTTCCTCCATATGGTGAAAAGGCAGAAGATGGGGACAGAATGTTGTATAGACATTGTCAGCTCTGTTCACTGTATTGGATATTTTTGCTAATTTTTCCTTATTTCAGCGGTGGCTGCAGTACAGAGGAAGGGGAGGCAGCTTTTTTTCTCCCCAAACTGTTTATGATTTAAAGACAAAAGGCATCAATAAAATGCATTAAAAACTAATTAAGTGCCAACTCTGTGCCAGGCACTGATCTAATTTTTAAAAACAGCCCTTCAACTCAAGAAGTGTACTTTATATGTGGGCATCTTTTATCAAGTAATCCTGAAAATACCTGCTGCTTATCCCATAGGGCAATTGTGATTTTTATGTTTCTTTTAAGAACCTTGGAAATCTCTCCTCTGACCTTGAGTTTAAAAATGGCCACTGAAGATGATCTTCCAGGGGCATATGTATAACTCGGAACCAAATTCCTGGGGTGTGAGAGACAGATAGAATCCCAACACTTTTAGATCAGAATCCATCTTGAGTTTGCAATTCAGTAACTCACATGTTCTCTTGCCATTCAAAACCTTTTTTTGTTCTACAATATTCCTATCATGAAGTGAGATAACAGACATGGTAAAGGAAATTAAGAAACTGATATAGTTAAAGAAATATTTTTGGAATGAATACATTTATTTTATCTTTCAATGAAAATTTTAAAAATTCAAGAAATTGTTACTGACAAACAATAGTAAGTATCATGTATATGTGGAGGGGGAGGAAAAAAACCCATGAGTTTTAAAGTTGGAGGGTTTAAGCTTATTTCTGTGTTTTTTCAGCAGCTGCTATTTTCCGATTCCCCCCTTCCCCACCCCCAGCCTGTGAAAATGAAGAGCACATCTTTAAGTCTTGTTTTGTTTGAATGAATGGGTAGATAATCTCGATCAGATGTTTCTTTAGAGAATCCTGTTTAAAACGATTATAGAACTGAGCTGTCCTACCCCCATTCCGACATATGATGCTTTCTTTCTCATTGTTAAGTCACCAGAGGTCATCCAAGGTAACCGTGTATTGAAATGGGCCTTTGTTTCAGGTTTCCTGTTGAATTTCTTTACCATTACAAAAATCATCCTGTTGCTGCCGGGTCGTGTTCACTTACCATAACCTGCAGACTTAACCACAAAACATCCTCCATGGGTCTTTCTGGCTGTGCCCTCCCCCATAAACAATAATTCAGGCTGAGTCAGAAACAAGGTCTTGGTCATGGGTCTGATCATTGTGAAACTGACATAGAGAGCCTGGGTGTCCAGGGTTGCCCACGGCTCTCCTGTTTATGACACTTTCTCTTTTGTTGTTTTTCTCTAGGACATTTGGGCTTCCAAGACAGTTTCGTCACATCGGGGGTTTTCAGCGTGACTGAGCTAGTCAGAGTGTCCCAGAGTAAGTATCCTTTCCCTTTATTTCATACCCACGTCTTCTAGCTTTGGACTAGTTCATTACCTGTACCCCCAGGGGTCCTTAAAACTTTCCACATTCACTCTAGATTCTTTGGAAGAATGCTGTCTCATGACAGCCAAGAATTTAAATCAGGAAAAGTTAAATGCTATATTGATGGGAGTCCTGGGAAAAGAACTGAAATCCTAATTAGAGAGGCTGTGTGGTATGTTGAATGACAGTTAGTAATAACAGCTAGCATTTGCATATTACAAAGCACTTTACAAATATTCCCTTATTTTAACAGCCCTGGGGGGATGTGCTATTATCAATTTCAGTTTTACTCTTGAGGAAACTGAGGCAGACAGGCTAAGTGGCTTGTCCAGGGTCACACGGCTGGTGTCTGAGGTAGGATTAAAACTCATGTCTTCCTGATTCCAAGTGTATCACTCCAGACATTGCCCCGCCTAGGTCTGTTTGTCAAGTTACTTACCCACTGGGTCTTAGCCTAAGTGTTCTCATCTATAAGATAAAAGAAGGTTGGACCAGATGACCTGTAAGGTACTTTTCAGCACTAGCTGTATGATCCTATGAGATTAAGGGTCTCTCCAGTTCCCTCATTTAAAGTGGGCAGTGGGGGAAATCTGGCAGTTTTCTCCAGTTCCTGAGACATTCTGCTTTGTAAAAAGATTTGGTTTTGACCTTTAAGGAATGCTAATGCCCACAGCATGAATGCCCCCCTGTTAAAAGATCACCACCAGTCTGCTAATACTCACTAACAATGGGGGATTAAGAGTGCCTGTCACCCCCCCCCCAGCTCCTCTGATCCGAAGGTGCATCCATTGGACGTCTGCTATGCCATAATCCAGATAGCCCAAGCGTGAGCTTGACGCACATACACACACATCCTTTCAGCCAGCCCTTGTTTTATTACTTTTATTGTCTTTACAATCCCAATGCCTGGTATATAGAAGGTGCTTAATAAATGCTTGATGTTTAACTCAGGGATGCTCCCAACTGAAAGAAGAACTGTGTAGTTTGCATCAAGAAATCCCAGAACCTCAAAGTTGAGAGGGAACTCAAGAGTCTATCTAGCCCAACCCAAACCTGACCAGTGGTTTCCTACCCTTATCTTGAAGGGGGGGATGGGAGGAGTCGAGAGGAGGGTCTGATTTCTATGAACAGAAGCCCATGTTACTTTGGGAGAGCTTGAGCTGTTGGGACATCTTTCCTTTGCATCCTTGGGATTTCCTTCTGTTCGTAAGAAAAGTGAATAAATACATCCGTAGCCTGTAATTTGTCAGTCACTCCTGGCCACGTATGTTCCAAGGAGGGGAGAGATAAATGGAGCAGTCCAGCCCTTGTTCAGCGTGCCATTTTGGATGCCCAAAGGAGCCAGGGAGAATGAGGCTAACCTTTCTTACTCAGCATCACTTAGGCCTTGAGACCTAAGATTCTGAATGTCCAATCCCACGAGAAAGGAAGACCTCGATTATTCATTGGTTTACTTTTCACCTTAACATAAAACTCCTCTCTCGGTGTCACTGGCTGTAGAGAGGACCGGATGCTCAGGTCTGACGTAGCTTCCCTTGACCATTTGTGGTTCCATGGAGGGCCCTCGATTCTTCCTGCTCTGATATCTGACTTCTCTCAGCCAGGGCCAAGATGACGAGTCTGTGGGGACTGGAGGACTGGGGAAAGTAGAGCACAGATGGCCAGGCGGGGAGGAGGGAGGTGGGATGCAATTGTATATGACAGTGATCTGAGGAGGTCAGGGCAGCAGAGGAAGGTGGCTGGAGGATAAATAAGGATTCCTATTTATTCTCCTCCTGGGGTGGGGAGAGGTGGGGTGCCTAGGAGCTAGGTTAAGACTGAAAACATGACAAGATCAATGCTCTAGAGCAAGATGGCTCAGAGGCCATCTGATCCAACTCCCTTATTTTACAGATGAGGAAGTTGAGGCCCGGAGATATTATGAGACTTGCCCATGGTCACTGTCATATGGCATGAAGTTCGTACTGCCACATACTTAAAGTAATAAATGTCATTATTACCCCAGTTCTACAGATGAGATAGGCAACATGATATAAGGGAAAAAACGCTGAAGATGAGGACACTGAGGCACAGATGATAATAATAGTTGTCTGTGCCTGCATCTCCTCATTTTCAGGTTTAGAGAGGGTGACTTGGATGAGGTCTCAGAAGCAGTCAGGAGATTGGAACTCAGGCGCTCTGACTCCAAAGCTCACTTTTATGCTGGGGTTTTTTCTCTTTTTGATACTGTAGTCTGCCTTTGAAAAACAAATCTCCCAGGGCTGCTGAATCTCGAGCGTAATTAATGGGAGAAAGCTGGCAAGATTGAAAGAGCTCGGTTCAGATCGTGGCAATTGTTTTTACTTTGTTTTGTGTTTTTCTTGGGGGGAGTAAGTTGTGTGGTCTTACCAAGTATCAAGAATGAGGGATAGAAAACCAAAGTGCTCCCCCCTTCCTCCCAAGGTCAAGAGGAAGTGAGAAGGGTCGCCAGTTTGGTGGAAGCGTCTCCTATAGTGAAATTATTGCAGGAAGGGCCGAGGCCCCCAGGTGGGGCTGGCGTGGACGCCTTCTTCCAGGGAAGACTCCTAGCAGGGAGCTGACGGGCCCATTGGAATACTGGCGTGAAGCAGCCCCGAGAACAGTTCTGGCTTTGCCAAGCTGCTTGTGGGACCTGATATGGATTCTCTGAGCTCGCTGCAGTCCGTGGTTTTGCGTCCTCTCCAGGACTCAATCAAATCCTGCCTCTCACTGATGATAACAGTGGAGAATAATATTCGCTTTGTTGGCTCAGTCATGGCCTTGGGCTAGGCTGAGGTCTGCGGCTCCCAGGGGGCTCCTGCCCCTCCCACCCAGGGCCCATTAAGCCAAGGGCATCTGGGGATTTTTCAAGAGCACCCTTTAGCTTGTAAACAGTGACAATCCCTTGGGTAGCATTCCGGAGGCCAGGCACCTTCCAGAAAGCCTTACCACTTAAGGAGGCTGCCATTACTGTGGTGGAGGCCGGAAATCAATTCCAAGACCCTTAGATGCAGCACCTGGGCTGGGCCACCCTGGGGAACACTAGAGTGGTTGTGCCCCCACTTGGATCCATCTGTGAGCTCGCTCTGATGCGAATCCCAGACCTTCCATCCTTCTGGCCCTCTGGGATGGTTCATAGTAGAGGACCCGCCTAATACTCTCTAGGCCTTGTGCTGACATGGATAGAGACTTGACCCATAATTTCACTGATCTAGGGAACTTCAGGATAAGGAAACTTCCTTCAACAATGGGTGGTCAACATTTTCTCTGCAATGTTGCCTTGGGGTACTGAGAGGTTCAGCCAGTCAGTCAACAAGCATTTAACTAATCTAATGGATAAGCATTTATTAAGCATCTACTATGTTCCAGGCACTATGCTAAGCACTGGACCTACAATTAAATTAAAAAAGCAAGCTCTTATCATGAGCCAGGTACTATCTGTATGAATAGCTAGGGATGCAAAGAAAGGCAAAATCATCCCGTTTTCAAAGAGTATTTGTAATGGGGCAACCAACATGCAAATAGCAAAGTATGTACAAGGTTAAATGACTTGCCCAAGATCAAACAGCCTTATGTCTCCTTGAAAGAAGGAGGAAAGGGAACAAACATTTGTTAAGCCCCTACTGTGTGCCAGGTATTGTGCTAAGCACATCACAAATATTATCTCATTTGGATCCTCACGACAACCTGGAAAGGGAGACGCTGTTGTTAATGCCCATTTTACAGATGAGGCAGCCAGAGGTTCGGTAATTTGCCTGGAGTCACTCAGCTAGTGAGAGTCTGCCCTAGTAAGTGCAGAATTTGATCTCAGCTCTTCCTGACTCTAGGCCCAGCGCTTTGTGCACTGTGGCACCCCCTAGCTGGCACAGTACCTTTTTAAATATTACTAATTATATCATAGAGTCATAGATTTTGAGTGGAAGGAACCTTATAGAGGCCATGGAGTCCAGCCGCCTGGCTTTCCAGATGAGGACCCTTAGGTCCAGAGAAATTGACATTCCCATGATCACACAGCTGGTAATGAGAAGATACAGGATGCGAACCCATGTCCTCCAACTACAAGTTTTCATACAACTGAGCTTTGGAGTCAGAGAACCTGAGTTCAAATCTCCTTACTGCTTCTGAGATCTCAGCCAAGTCACTCCCCATCTCTAAACCAGAAGATGAGGAGACTGAGGCAAACAGGGTGAAGTGACGTGCCCCAGGTCACATACCTAGGAAGTGTCTGAGGCTAGATTTGAACTCAGGGAGAGGCGTCTTCAGATGAAAATGATCCAGAAGTGGGGTGAGCTGTCTCAGGAGGTAGTAGGTTCCAGCTCCTCAATGGGGCTCTTCAAGAAGACGGGGTAATTATTTTCCAACCATGTTGAGTCCATCAGCCGATCAACAGAGCACCTACTGTGTGGCAGGTACTGTGCTAAAGTCAGGGAATTGAAAGGCAATTTGACATCATCACCTTATCCTGAGGAGTGTTGTAGATGAATTATTGTTCTGGTATCAGCTGGGCCAGGTGACCATGGAGGCCCCTTCCAGTCCTCTGACTGCTCCCCCTCCTCCGTCTCCCCTCCCTTGGTCCTGTCTAGCACAGCACTTATGGTCTTGGGGCTGGGGGCAGTGCCCATCGTGGGACATTTCCTGGAGTCTAGAGGGCCTTGGCATTCAGTCAGTGAGCATTTGAACTTGATATTATCATTCTTTGCCTTCCCCATCCATTTCCAGGGCAAAATCAGTTTTCGGCTCTTCTGCGATTTCTTCTAATTGGCCCCCTGCCCTTTGGATACTCCCTCATTAGGTGGCACTGGAGAATAACTGTGCAAAGGTTGTTGTTTTTCATAGGGTTCCCTAAAAGGTGGGGGTGCCAGAGAGACTCAAGGGGGTAGCTGCTGGCTCCAGTGCACAAATCCTGAGGTGACTAGGGCAGCCAGTGGGCACCCTCGCTGCCTGCAGCAGACTCG